TTGTTTCGTATGTATAAAGGAAAAATTAATGATTTATTAACAAACTTTAATAGAAAACTTAGCTGAAAAGAAATTATACGCAATAAGTGAATGACTTAAGTGGAATAAGACTGTGCATATAGGAACAATATCATAGATGCAAAATGAATGCATGAAATTCAAAGAGTAAAACTTTTAATTTCGAGTAAAGTTATTTCAACCCGGAAACGTGCAAGAAAAGGGGTCATAAATGTTAAAGGGTAAAGAGACATTACATTAAACTCGTTTTCTTCATGCTAACTGTTCTGCCAGTAGTTACTATTAGCTTCAGTTTTGTCGCCATCAAATTGTATAATATATTATAATAACTTATGTATGCCCAAATGCGACTCTTTGTCGAAAAGTTGAGCTCCTATTGATTCGCCTTTGTAATCTCTGTGAACAGTTGGCATTATTCACTGTCATTGAGCTAACATTAATTTTTTTTTTTTTGTTGTTTTCTCTTTGAGAGCTCCATTGGACTATCTCATTTTTCCATCCTTTCCCTTTCCAAATATCCTTAACATTCAAAGTACTATTAGTAACAGTACCAACATTCATCGATCATATATTTTGAAACTTTCCAGTACGAATACTTATTAGTTCTCTTGCTCACAACAGCAATGACATTTGCAATAAAATTGGCATTACAATTACGCGGGGTTTTCAAATTTTCTCCGGTTGAAACGAGCTATGAAGACAATGCGTTTTGACAATTTCCACATAAAAAATTTATGCCAAACTTTAAGCTCGCTCTGATTATAACATTTTCCATTCATCTAATGACCTATCTGCTTTTATCAGTTATCTTCAACTATTCATTACATTTAAAAATTAAGCGGTCGTCCGATCTTTCACTACATATCCAAGAACTTGAGAAAACCCTGGTCATGCACACTCAGCTTTCATAGGTACTTGCCATACAGAAGCCATCATAACGCGTATGTCGTTTTCCTATATCTCTTATATTATTCTTATATTATTCTTTTCTTTGAAATTTAAAATTTACTATTACGTAAAAAGGAGATAAAATATTTCCTTATTTTGCATAAACTGTAAAAATTTATAATTATTTCATATTATTAACAAAACAAAAAGCATAACCATGGCTCTTTTTCGCCTTTATTTTGAGCAACTAACTTCATTACATATTAAAAAAGTTTTCGTTGATGGAATTTTAAAAGTAAAAGTTTTCGAATTCATGACAAGCCCAGTTTAGCCAATTTAAAGGATATGCAATAATGTTCGCAAGTTTCACTAAATTACAGAGTTAGAAAAAATTTTTATATCCATCGCGCGGGAAGCATTTACCAATTTTATTATCATCGTTGGAAGGATCTCAAAAAGTAACTTGAAATTTTAAGAGCTCACAGCTATGCTTCATTTTCGATGCATCCTTCTCGTTTGTCTTTACGTCTTCCTTCTTCAAATTGTCGAAAGATTTAGACAATCGTATGAAGTTGGAATTTAAAAGCTAGCAAGGAAAGAATTTCATTCATGACTTTTACCTCTTCTTAAATTTTAGGACAATATAGAAAACATTTGCACAAGGAATTTGAATTTTTTGTCTGTGAATGTACTTTCAATTTTTGTTTCTTGTTGTATGACCAATTATTTAGGGGATGTTCCCTCTTCGTGCAATACGATTACGGCTGGAAAGAAGTGAGGAAAGAAAAAGAGGCAGGAAAGCATCCGAAGCCGTGCTTCCGTATGGAGATTTGAATCCGCGGCAATAGACTTGAAAGTCGCCAGTCTTACCTATTCGGCTACTCGTGTGGACTTACGCTTAGTTTCGGGGAATAATTCTTGTTTCTTTTAGATCAGCATTACAAGTTATTTTCGTTTATTATTAATATTTTTTCCATTATTTATTGTTTATTACTTGATTATGTTTGCTTTTTCATCTCTTTATCACTTTGTGGGGTTCTTAGCCCATTAAGTCCGCTCCTAAATATTATCTTTTCGTCCAGTTTTACGTTTTGATTGTTAAGAAGTTCAGATATTAAAAGAATGGACAGACGGAGAAGAAAATATGTACAAATCTTTTATATATCGACCACAAAAAATACGCGGAAATTTGTGTTGCACTTTCCGGTATAGTTAATAAATAACGAACAACGGACCCATTTTCTTTGGTTTTTTCTTTAGAACGTAGAAGTTATACTGTAGGCGTGCCCTTTGGTCGTTTTGTAACATTTTCAATATCAGCCCTATGCAAGCATTTCCAGTGGTTTCGTTACACCCTAGCTGTTGTCCTATTTTTCATGGTCGGAAGTATGATTATCGCAGACCGACGGATGGAAGGACATATCGATCCAGAATTTGCTACTAATCAAGAATACTCGTATATTTTATATAATCAGTGAGACGTTTCTAAGTTTTATAAGCTTATTGCAAAGATAAATAAACTCTCAATCCTCGATAATATAGTCGGGCAAGCTCGACCATTAGGTACCTTACATCACATCTCTTGCTGCAATCATTCACACGTTCTGGTAAATTAAACATAACTTCCATGCAACGGCATTCTTTCGACTAAAGCCCACAGATTGGAGGACTGCCAAGACATCACATGGCGTGATCCAAATTTAGCAAACTTAGTATACTTCCCTAAAATACTATTATTTTTCAGCTTCCGTCATAAAAGACTAGAAAATAGACTTTCTCTTCATGTAGGGGCTTGATTTCATAATAAGCTGTACGTATAACAAATAGATTTACGAGATCCTAATTTCTTCCGATTCAATTTTGCGTTTAATTGCTACTATGCACCAATTTTCGTCTTTGAATATTAAAAATTATTCATTTTTACCATATAAAGATTCGCTTTTCGTAGGAACGATTTTAAGAGATAAGGTTCAAAAAATTTCCTTAGCCGAACCAAACTGTCGAAATACTATTACACAGCGAGTTTTGTCGAAAAATTTTGAAAACTGCAATTGTTTTTTTGCATATAAGTTCTTTTCAAACTAAGGCCCTCGATCGAAACCATTTTCAACATAGTTCGTCCTTGGATCATAACATGTCAGTGTAACAAATTTCATCAAAGCATTTCAAAAATTTGCCATCAATCATTGCCACCAAAAATCAAATGGACAGAAATCAGAGATACCGACGGACAAATAGTTAGACAAGCTTCATTCATAACCATTTTCTGAATCGATTGGTATAATAAGAGGTGAGTCTTCTTTCCCGTACTTTTGGGTGTTACGCCCCGTGTAGTCCTATTAAATAAACAAATCACGACACAACACAATAACTTAAAAGACGATTGCATTTGTTACTCTTTAAAAAGAATATTAAAATTTAAAAGAAAAGAGACAGCACACCAATAGCTTTTACTAAGAGCGTTCCTTTTTTATCTATCTTCGTTATACAGTTTATAATTTCTTTTTATTTATACGCAAATTAACACTAATGTCCATAAAACGTTATGATCGTAAAGCGAAAAGATGAGTTATTTTACCTGCATGTCATTAAAGTTCGTATATATTATTGTTTTTTGTTCTGTTTTCTGTTTTCTTTTTGTTATTTTCTCTTTATCGAAAACCACCTCTCACCTATGAAATTATCTTTCATCCATTTATGACCTTCAAAAACATATGTTCCATACACGTCGTCTTTTCAGTGCAGGTGACATATTATAAATTAAACTTTTGTCTGCCTCTTCATGTCCCTTAGGACCATCAAGCCACCGCAAAACATCAATTTTGCCAAACCTGAGCAAGTAGAGGATATATTGTAACACAAAGATTCAAAGCTATCATCATCAGTTGTCTAATACGAGTCGATTACCACATAAAGCGGATACATTTGATTGCTGCAGAGTTTGAATTTATGGTAATACACAGATTCTGCTCTTGTTGTTGCTGCCGCTGCTTCTGCTGCTGGTGATGTTTAGATGAATTACTTTTATTTCCTTTTGAGAGTAAAATTGTAACCTTTCTTTTAATAAGGATGTGTTCACTGACATACAAGTACACTTATGTAAACAAAACTTTTTATATTCATATAAATACATATATACTTATGTATGTATATATACACATATGGATGTGAATAAGTGCTTGCGATAATGACTTATAGACAAGCACGTGTGGACAAATTAGTGTTACGTGGCTGTCAAAAAAAAAAAGGAAAAAGAAAAGAAAATCCCCAACACGTTACTGTAACATATAAGCATAAATTCGTTTAGCTTAACACATGATACAGTTCCTGCATCGTAGCTTAAGGTTAATTTAAAGCGAAATATATACAAATATCATACGTAGACGCTTATATTCATATCATCTCAAAATATGTATGCGTATGCACATCTGGTATAATTTTAAGTGTAGTTTCCAAACCGTTAAATATTTCCTTATGAGTAAACCTTACACGGCTTAAAAGTTGTTCGGAAACTTTATCTTCTCCGTAAAAATTTCCTTAAGACATTAGCTCCCCTTTAGCTTATATACATGAGGCGGAAATTTTCGCAACAAACTTTCTTTAAAACTGTCTACAGCATATGTCATGCGAATGCTTGCATGTCTGTTTTCTTTCGTTAAGTGTTTCCTTAGCGTTGCCGTTTCTCCTTTCCCCTTCTTTTCGTTTTTTTTCTTCTTTTATTCGTTTCCTTCAACCTATTGCCACGCTATTAATCATATTCAACGTTAATTAGCTATTAATAACAATTTGGTAACCATAAAATTTATGATCTGTCACAATGTGCTGATGCAAGCATATATCCATAAATACTTGTACAATACACACTGAAACCTTACTCCTAGCATTAAATACGCATTATAAGCTTTTTTCACACGCTTGACTAAGTTTACGTGTTTAATTCTCCTATCATGAATTTTTGGTTTCTCTGCTTATCATTTTCATGCATGTCGGATGTAATATAAATGCTTCAGTTTATATGTGCATGTGTGCATTTGTGTTCGTCACTTCTTCTAGTACTTTCTCGTTCTGTTTCTTTTGAATTATTGTTTACTTACCGGCATGTTATTTATGGTAAATCTTAATTCAGCTCGTGGCCGAGATGGCGGTGTACTGCAGTTGGCACGCAATATATCACCCGGTTCGTAACGAGTTAGCTCGGTAAAGAGTTGCGGACGTTTCTCCGGAAATTCTGTAATATAAGCCAAATGTCAAATTATAATCAAAATTATATTATCTTTGAAAAATTATATAAATTTTGCAAAATGTTTTATGGGAACTTTTTCCAAACATTATGTCTTCCTTTCACGTTTCCTTTTGTCGTCTTTTTTTACTTTCAGGTGTTTGCTTTGCCAAGTAAACTGACGAAAACAAATACGGCGAACGGGCAACGAGAAAAAGGGTAAGTCAAGCATTTGATAAAGAAAAGTTTGTCTGTGCGTGATTTACTTTCACTCCACTTTCCTTCATAATATACTTAACAACACGAGGTGCATAAACAACTCTGTAAGCGTCACAAACAATTAAAACTGATTATCCTTGATACTCGGGAATCAGGAAAATTTGCACGTCACTAATCAAACCCGGGAGATCGAAAAAAACCTACGTCCACCAGGTTGTCCCTTCTCGAACTTCGTATTCAATTTCCGGGCGTTATTAAAAATAACTGCCAACAATAATTACATCAGGTAAATACTCGCGAAAACAGTTCTTTCAAAGGGCGTGGTTCCTAACCCAGGGGAGTCTAAATCTGGAGTGTATGTCCATAAAGACTATTACGGAACACTTCTCACCCATCAAGAAGATAAATTAAATAAAAACATCTATGTAAATCGCCTGCATCTGTCGTATTGTCCAACATTTCTTCACTCAGCCAAGGAAACAGTTTTAGTTTTTCAACTATCGTAATAGTCCTCCGCTGAAAGCGGAATGGAAATGCCTAACTGTTGATATATTGGTTTATGACTTCGAACACTTATTCCCACATCTCGATTCAGACAGCAAGGGCTATTTTTTTTCTTTTTTATACCCATCACCAAAGGATGAGGGGTGCACTCATTTTGTCGAAACCTCTGCAACGCCCGGAAGAAGTATCAAAGACCCCAAAAAATACATATATTATTGATCAGCATCAAATTCTAAGTGGATTTAAGTATGTCTCTTTGTCTGTCTGTCCATCTGTGTAATGTCTGTTGTAACCATTTCGCTGGCCGTAAAAATGAAGCTATCAATTTCAGAATTGACTGAAACATTCGAAGTTCTTACACGCAGTTTGGTATTGAAAATGAGCCAAATCGGGCCAAAAGCACGCCCAATGCACAACGTAAACTGAGACCACCTCCGTTTTTCGAAAGGAATGAAAAATTGGTTTCTTGCTCATTACTCATAAACTATAGCAAATAAATGTACAAAAATTTGAACGCATATTCTATCGACAATGCTGTGGCATCCTCACGCCTACGCGAGGTATATGAAAATTTAATTTTTTCAACACCTTTATAACGCGCAGAAGCAAGCTTCAAGAACCCCATAAAGTATACAAATCCTCGGCCAGTTTCAAATTTAGAATGCGCCGAAGCATGCCCGCCTGTTCGTCTGTCTGTCTGTCTGTTTCCGCAATTTTGTAGTATTTGTGGTAGACCTAATCCCGTTAGCGAAAATGAACATACCGCCTACAAATTTGCAAGAGTATCAGTAATTGATCTAAACTTTTCAAAGGACGCGCCTGCAACGCCCCCATGCCTATATGACAAAAACTTTTATTTTGAAAATAGGAAACTCAGCTGTGCCTGAGGGCACGAAAATTTTGTTCTCTTACTTTTTTTGCTTGTTTTAGGATAAGGGTGATGGGTAATTTAATTTTCTTACTTGTTTTCTTTAATGTAATCAGCCACTGAAAGGAGGTTCTTCAAATGCGTTAGTACGCTAATGTATATATTTGGTGTTAGATGTAGAGAGGGAGAAACCAAGGAATTCTACCCGAGTGTCTTCGACTTAAATGTCAGGATAATGGATGAAAAATGGCAAGAAAATGTAAAAAATCGCGCAAAATGCCCACAGGTGTAAAAAGCATTATATTCGCCCTCAAGAATATATATTCTCAAGGTCTTTACAACTCTGACAATTGCTCGCTTGCATGTTACTAATTTCATCGAATGGGTTTTTATTAGTGTGGTATCCTAGCAGCATAGGTGTCCCTTTAGTTTGCGTTTAAGTAAGCCCTACATTTACTTAGAAATGCTGTGAAAAGTTTATTGTTTGACGTATTTCGCTAAGCATTAAGATGTGATGAATGTCGGGACTAATATGATTACTTAGCACAAGTATATAATCTCTCACATAGTCTAATGCTGGATAACAGCGCTTCAATATTTTTTCATAAATCGCATATATATATTAGGTTGTTCGGAAAATTATCTCGTTTTTCCCAACATTGGATTTTATCGAAGTTTAAGCCTTATTTTCATTATATATTTTAACAAGTAGGTTAGCAAGGTCTGCTTGTGAAAAAGTTCAATTGGTTTGGTTGGTGTCCTCTCAAATATGGTAAATGAAAATCAGATTTTGGCCATATTCTACTCTTTTACTATCGAAAAAGTAAAAATGCTGTTCCAGGAAGAAAAAAATTATCCGATGTGTATGAAGAAAATGTACTGACGGCAGGCGAGGACTAAAACTGGTTTACAAACTTTCGTTTTAATTCCTCCTCTAAAAAGTCGGTTGAATCTCATGAATACAAAATGAGAGAATTAACTGATGTAAACCGACGAATAAGAATTCATAACATTACTGAATTCGACCACTCATAATAATGTAGTTATCCACAAATAACAACCTCTTTCGTTTTGACCAAGAAATACTAAATACCCTTCTTACGGCAATGCTCCAACGAAAATATGCCGTCGTCAAGCCATCAGCATACCATTACTGTGTTTCACTTGTGTTACATGGCAAGAATTACGAGGTATCATTACACAAGTTAACAACTGTCAATTACTTTGATTTGGACCCCAGCGTGCTTTTTGCGCAGAATGTTTTCTTTTTTGTTTTTTTAATAACTGTCAATGGATAAAGAAGCGCAGCTGTCATAATATGTTAGCTTTAGTTACAATATATTTTCTATAATAAGGTTTTCCTTCAACTTGGGAGACATTATTACACTAATTGCTAAAGAAACCAAGACGCTGTCTTATGTGTGGAATTGTATTGGTTAATAAGGAACTTTTTGTGTTTTTATTGTTTCTCAAGAGTATTTCGTCGTGCTAACTGCTACTTACTAATACTACTTACTCATTACTTACTCGTTAATTGGCATTTTTGTAGTTCAGTAGGGAAGAGTCTGGGTAAAAATTCGTGCAAAAAATTCCGTGAGCTTCAACTTTGATTTATCTACTATAACGTCTACATTATATAACGTGCATCTGCATAAATCTACATTCCTATTCCCACACTAAATTTTAACATGTATATAACATGTATATTTGCACGAGAGACGGCCCTTTTTTTTTTATTTTTTGTTGTTGTTGTTGTTGTTAATATGTGCATCTATGCAGAAAGGACGATTAGTCTCTGCTTTTGGTTTAAGGATTAGTTTTGTTCTTTTTTAAAATCTCTAAATAATAAAATACTTAAATACCCTTTGGGGTCACAAAACTGAATGAAACTATATTATGTAATTTTGCTTCTTTATATATGTACCTTAGAGTTTAGTCAAGCTGCTGTGTGATCAGATTAAAAGTAAAGTAGATGTTCTAGAATATAATTTCATTATAAGTAAAAACTGAGGATTTATACAATACAAACAAAAGCGTGCTTAGGTACATTATAAATTGGATTTGAAAGTTGTATACAATGCAACTAAGAGTGATTTTGGTTATAAACATTGTAGGCTTCATAATCTAATCTCCATTTTATTGTTTAACGATATATCATTATAAACCACTATAGGGGGGAATACAGTGTCGCATAATTTATAGATTTGGCGAATATTCGGTGTTTTCTTTCTAACGTAGTTCAATTAACGGGTATCAGTTTTGATGTTATTTTAGAAATTTGTTATTGTTTATTGTTTTTTTGTGCTCCCTATCAAATCCTGATGATAAGAGGATTAATGCTTTGCTTGCACAAACCCTATAGGCATCTCAATTACTGCACATGTACACACACATACATAACTGCATATGCATATATGCATGCATATGTTTATATATGTAGATATATGTACATATGTGTATGTTAGAATTGAGATACCTATAGGTTTTGCGTGTGTTTCTATACATATATGTGAAAGCCACAAAATTGCATCTTTCCTTGCTAAGTACTGAACAAACAAATTTTCGAGCATATAGTAGTATTTTTCTGCAAAGATATTCAACTTACGATACGAGAGAGAGGAAAGAAGAATGAGAATATTGTAGATGGAAGTGAAAAAACCCTGATTAGTAGCAATAATGCAACTTTGTACTAATTATACGATAAGATAATAGTTAGATAGAAGATAGTTTCGATGCCGGTGAGTTCACTTAATAACCAAGCTGTCTAACAAATAAAATATATATGTGAAATTAAAGATTTTCTTCTTTACTAAAAAGGCCATTTTAATTTCCATCTGTATTCCTAATCATGTAGATCGTTTACAGGGAGCTACTTAACCAACCCCTTCTGCTACTGTTTGTTTCGCTTCTTGAATAATTCCCGTAATGGTGTAATGTTGACGTCAAACGAGGCCTGTGAAAAACACTTGTGTATCAATGCTTTACCGCGCGCGAAATCTCAGAAGCTCTACAATAGTGGTTTAACGGTTTCATCTGGAAAATGACAAAAGGTTAGGTTAATAAAATTCATTTAAAATGGAAGAAAAATTATTTCGAATCTTGTGAAGAAACCAACGCTACGTACTTCGTCCTTTGTCTATCATGCCCCAGAAAACACATCGTTAAATTCTGTATATATGTATCAAATTTCCTTTGAAAAAATTTTAAAGATCATCGAGCTTTTGAATAAAAGTTTTTTATTAATTTTCGTCATTAAAGCAAATCTCCTTCTCCTTAAGTTACTTAATTATAGATGGGTTTTCAACATTCACGCCTTGTTAAAATGCAAATCTTAAATTTACGTTGCCGTGGATTAGGGTGAAAACTAAAAGAAACTAAGCTAAGCAATATAGAAGAAGAATAAACATACACATAGACA